CTCTCTCTCTCTCAAATAAATAAATAAATAAATAAAATTAAGTAGTAGATGAAATCTAAGAATATATGTACACTTTCTATTGTTAGAAAGTAGGCACTTTAAAAGTATGTAATCTTATAGAACATAATTTTTTAAATGGAAAGAATCTGAACCTTTGATATTATTAACTTAAATTTTGATCTCTAGTAACAAAGAATTTATTTCATTTGAAAAATTTATAAAATATTTTATAAATATTTTAAACTTCTTTGAGAACAATAAGCCTGTATTTAATATGCCTAATCAAAAAATTAATGTTAAGATTTTATTATTATATGTAACAAATATGAATTTTCATTACCTATTTCTACCATTTTATGGAATAACTTTATCTGTATACTCTAACCATCATTTTCAGCTCCAGTTACACACACACACACACACACACACACACATACATACACACATATATATTTGTAGCCTCTGAATCTGTTAAATTTTAAAGGTTCACTAAAAACAATACTACTCATATTGTGCAGTGTATTTGCTTAAATGAATTTAAAATGAATTTAATAATAAAATTTTCAGTTTATTCATCTGTTTTTGTAGTGAGTACATTATAGTAAATAGAATATGGAGCTGATTTGATGAAGAAGTACATTAAACTGAAATATACTAGTTGTTTCATTAGGTCACAATGACATTTCCATTTTCACAAACCTATTATATTGTAATTAAATAACTGGTCATTGATTTCCTCTTTTTCTGCTTTTATCCCCCCTCTCATTCATATTGATATTATTCTGCTTGGGGAATGGAGCTGCATGTCTCCCAGACTAATTCCTTTTAGGATTGGGGGATCTTGAAGCATGCTGGGTTTTTCATTGTTTGTTACATTCCTTTTTGGCAGTTCATCAGTATCTGTCAAGTATATTGTTTGCATCAGCTTTTATCTCAAGTTTTTGATTGAGAAATTGACATTCCATTTCAGTTTTCTACTGTGCATAGTGTCTAAATGCTAACGAATTATTCATAAAAGTTCTTTGTTTCCAGTCTGATTATTAATGTGTAAGTTAAAGAACAAATTTTCTAACAAATGTGAAAATATATTTATGTTCTTTATTACTTTTCAAATCAAATCCACATAAACATTTTTGTACCCATTTATTGTAGCAATTATGTTTGGAAGATATTTTTTCATGATTGTAGCTTTATTGCCTTTTTGTTAAGTAGGAAGAAACCTAATTATTAAATATAAATGGTTAAATATTTATTAATGGAAATGAAGCAAAACATGGCTTGTCTCCAGGAAGTCATTTTTTCTAACCATAACCATAGATGTTAAATTTTATCATCAAATCACCAAATCCCATAATGGCTAGAGGTAGCCATTCTAGGAGCAGTATTATATTAGAAAATTTTATCTAGAAGAGTCTTTAAAATATTTTATTTTAAACTTCTATTTCAAATGCAAAGCCTTTTAAAATAAATAGTTTCTACTAAAAGTGATGTAGTATTGTAATTTAGCAATATAACCTAGAGGCTAAAAGAAGAAAACTTAGGGCTATCAAAGTTCATGTAGTTTCAGGACCTTATTAAAGTAGAAAATATATTTAAGTGTTATATACCTTAATAAAAGAAAACCACAAGCATATGTAGTTCACTTAACTACTACATATTTCTAAATTACCAAATGATTTTAAAACTCAATTTCTAAAACTAAATACAGATCTGTATTTAATTCAATTTGAAGTCATACTAGTAAATAAGCCTCCCTCCCATCAGTAATTAAAGCTGTGTCACAGACTAGCATTCTGAGTAGAAATAAAGACTTATGGCTCAAAGTATATTTTGAATTTTAGATACAGTTTAAATAGTAATAATAAATTACAACATTAACTTTCTTCATTTTGGTTTAGTTAAATATACAAAGGAGAGCTTAGAGAGCATTATATGGAAAAGTGTGTTTTTTGATGTTATGGTGATTTTGTCATAAATGTCATATTTTAATATTGAAATATCAATATTTTTAAAATTTTCAGGCATTTTAATATTAGATATTAATTCTTTTAATCTTAGATATTTCAAGAGATATGAAATAATAATAGCTTTTTAACTTGTATTTCAGTTTTCTTTGTATTTCAGTTAGATCTTTAATGATATATCCTGAGAAAGATGAGGGAACTAAGAATATTAATTTTGGTTCTTACAATACAAAGGCATAGTTATTCAGGATGCAGAAACAGAAAAGCCAATAATCACTATTAAAAGATTGTCAGTATATAATTTTTGTACTACTTTATAGTATATTTTTGTATTTGCTTATTTATTTATTGTTGTTTGTTTGTTTTTTGTTTGGTTGTTTGTTTTAAACAGGGGAAAGTCGCCCAGACAGCTTGCATGTCAGCCTGCCAGCATCTGTCAACAACCTTGATGCAGATGCTGCTGGATAGTGAGTTAAAACAGATAAGCATGGGAGCTGTTCAGCAATTTAACTTAGATGTCATACAGTGTGAATGTAAGTACCATGTTGGTTAGTTCATGAATTTCAAGGAATGTATATTTAAATTATATGAAAAAAATTATATATATAGTGGTAGTAGGATATTTTGAAGACGGAAAGGATCTAATGTAACTAAACTTTTGGCAGCCTTGTGAGTAGAACTAACTTTAAAGGAAGAGAAATATGAAAAATATGCCAGCTTCACGACATTCAAGGTTTCTAGAGAGGCACTGAAATGGTACTCTAGATTGGGATAATTCAAAAGATAACTCATTATCCCCAATATTTCTTTCTCAGGTAATTCTTTTTTTTTTCTTTTTTAAGTATTTTTTTTT